TATATAATATATATATATATATATACAGTCATATATATCATATATTTATTATATATACACACACACACACACACACATATATATATATAAATCGACATAAATTTATACAGACAACAATGCTCTTATAGTGGATATCCAAGGTTTGACTTGAGTATCGAACTTCGACTACTCGAAAGGACATGTCATATCTACCAATGCTTTCGGAAGACTCACCTCATTCATTTTTATATCTTATTCGGATTCATCTAGAAGGGTCAATCAACAGCACAGGAGTTATCCAGAGTAGTTGAGTCAGCATCAAAAAGTTGAATACACAAACATCCTACACGTGCAGAAAAATGGGGTTGCACTCAATAATATCTGTAGATTAATTCTGTGAGATTTCGATGGTACGGTAACTATTCACACTGGATCATGAACATAAGATGCGTATACAAACGTACACAGTCAGTAAACAATCATAATTGTAATACATCTACCTATGTATTTTTATACTCCGATTGATAGTTCGTGTGTATAATTCAGCGGTCTTGGCTCCATGAATTATATTTATTAATAATATCAGGTGACTCGTCCCTTCGAATTTGGCGCGAAAACATCCGAGGAGATCTCAATGACGTAACATCGATGACGCAATAGCATCAGTAACAAATCGTAAAAAAAAATACGATGTAAATACCTTGAACCTTCGTCTTCAGTTCTTCCCCTCCTTTATAGTCAACTCTGGTAGTGTTGGGGCAGGCCGTGTGTAGACTGTAGCCTAGAGAGGTGACTGGCAGTGACACACAATCAGTTATTTACGTCGGTCAGAGAATGCACAGTCACGACACGTTCCGGCTCCGATAGCAGTTAAATGTTATGCAAGAGATGCGCAATTACTCCAGAAGACAGTTATTGCTTAGACAACGTGTAGTAGTCTGTTCAACGTTTATTGAGAAACGATATGGATCACCAGCGGAAAGTGACTTATGGCTTCAGCCATGAGGTCAACATCAACGTCCGTCTCACTGTGTAAGTGTGTGTACAGTATGGAGTACTACGTGTTTCAGTTGGGCTTGAGAATTGTGTGGCTATGGGGCTTAGTCCCATTACTTCCTTCTTGAAGGTTTGCATGTCGCACATGAGGTCAATATCAACGCCCGTGTCACTGTGCAAGTGTGAGTACACTATGATGCTACCTATATCAGATGGGTATGTGAGTACTGAGGCTATAGGGCTTAGTCCCATTAATCCCTTCTTGAAGATTTGTACGTCTCACATAAACGTTCGTCTCACTGCGCAAGTGTGTGTACACTAAGATCAGTCAGGTATGGTAGTTCTGGAGCTACAGGGCTTAGCCCTGGTGTCCCCTTCTTGACGACAGTCTAATTATAATGATCTGATACAATAATGCCATAACTACTGTGTGCGATCTATTGCATCACCACGCGTGAGTGATGCGTAGGCCGATCGCAGTTCTCAATCCAGGGGATCATATCTGTACACTATAGAGCGGTTGTGAAATGTCTGGACGGACTGGAGCACTTCGTACCCACTACTTTATTAATCAGTAGTTCAGGTTCAGTTTAAAGTGCCTCCAGAGCTTACTGTAGTGTGGTTTGATATGCCGCACTCGTTTCTTTACGCTAGTTGGAAGCTTGTGTGCGTCGATTCACCACGAGATTCGTTGACACACACCCTTATTACAATAGGCATGAGAGTCAGCACATGCGTATCTCCACGGAAAGGTGTATCTGCTGTATATATATCTATATATATATATACATACACACACACACACACACACACACACACACACACACACACACACACACACACACACTATATATATATAT